TAAAGTCTGATTTATGTATTTTGGGGCTCTTTCATTGGATCCATAGATATTTATTATGGTTATATCTTCATGTTCAATTGATCCTTTAATCATTATGTAATGTCCTTCCTTGTCTCATATGGTGGTTTTTGTCTTAAAGTCAATTTGATCAGAAATTAATACTGCCACTCCTGCTCTCTTACAGTTGCCATTTGCTTGATATTTATTTTTCCAACCTTTGATTTTTAGTCTATTTTTGTCTTTATCTCTAAAGTGTGTCTCTTATAGACAGCATATTGATGGGTTTTGTTTTCTTATCCAATCTGCAACTCTCCATCTCTTGAGTGGTGCATTTAATCAATTAACATTCAGTATAATTATTGACAAGTATACATTGGTTGCTGTCATGTTATCTGTTTATTCATGGTGCCCTGGTTTCTTTGTTCCATATTATTTTCTGTTCTGAGCTCATTATGTTTATGAATCATGTTATCATTTCCTTTGTTGCTGTTGTTGTAATATATGCTGAATATTTGTGCTTTTCCTCTTTTTTATTGTGATGTGAAGGTTCATAATTTTTGTTTGAGGTTACCCTATGATTTATAATTTTCTTCCTGAGTTTAGAACAGTCCATTCTATCTTGCAACTCTCTTAACTTCCTCACCATGTAGAAGTTCTGTAACTACATAGTCTTTTCCCTCTTTTTGTGTATAGTTGTCCTCACTTGCCAATTGATGTCTCTAGTTTCCTCTTTACAATCTTATAAGCTCATTTTAATTTGGATATGTCCATAATTGTGGTTTCTGGGATATGTCATCTTGTGTATTAATAGTCGGTTGTTATGTACTATTTTTGGTTCTCTGTTCAAAGGACTCCCTTTAGCGTCTCTTGTAAGGTTGGTCTGGTTTTAACAAATTCCATTAGTTTCTGCTTATCTGGAATCTCCTAATTTCACCATCATATTTGAGGGACAATTTTGCTGGGTATATAATTTTTGGTTGAAAATTTTTATCTTTCAGGATTTTATATATACCATCCCATTGCCTTCTTGCTTGCATGGTTTCTGCTGAGAAATCAGAGCTTATTCTTACTGTTTGTCCTTTGTAGGTAACTTTCTGTTTTTCCCATGCTGCTTTCAGGATTCTGTGTTTGTCTTTGGTTTTGATGAGTTTGATGATGATGTGTCTTGTGATTTTCTTTTTGGGTCTATCCTGTTTGGGGTTCATTGGACTTCCTGAGTGGATATATTCTCATCTTTCATCATATCAGGGAAGTTCTCTTCAAGCAAATTTTGGACAATTTTCTCAGTGGTTTTGTTTTTCTCTTCCTGTTCTGGAATTTCATTGACACATAAGTTATTCCTTTTGATGGTATCCCACATGAACCTTAGGCTTTCTTCATTTTGTTTTGATTTTTTTTCTGATTGATCCCTTTCCAAAGAATTGTTCAGGTATTTGTATTCAATCTCATTAATTCTGTCTTCCATTGCATCAGTTCTACTCCTTTGCCCTTCCAATGTATTATGTATTTCTGACAATTTAGTATTAATCTTCTGGATTTCTATCTGTAGATTTAGAATCAGTTCTAATTTTTCATTTATTTTGTCATTTTGTTCTTGTATATTCTTCAAAAATTCTTCTAAGGTTTTTCTGTGTTTTCTTTGGTCTGTCTCTCAATCCTTTAAAGATACCTAAAGATAATTCTTTTGAATTCTTTATCACAGAGTTCAAATGCTGCTTCTTCCTCAGGGATGTGTTCTGGATCCGTATCCTGCTCCCTTGTTTCTACCACTTTATCCTGCTTCTTTATGTGGACTGTGATGGTATGTTGTCTCTGAGACATTGTGGCATTATTGTATTTAGATCTCTGTTAACTGTTTGTGAATAGAAGCCAAGGGTGATTCAGGCTTTTCTTGGTGGGTTTTTATCTTTGCCCGTTGGTGGAGAAGGGGGTAGTGGTTCTCGCTCAATAAGTGAAGTTGCAGAATGTTGGGTGTAGTTGTGTCTTACGGGGACTGTTGCTGTCTCCCACTCAGTTAGACAAAAATTACAATTGAATAACCATCAAAAAACTAAAAGCACATGGACAAAAAACACACCATGTAATCACAGAGGGACAGAAACCAAAAAAAGAAGAAAAAGGAAAAAGAAGAAGAAAAAAGAAGAAAACCTGCAATATATGTGGATAGGGCACTAAGAGAAAAAAGGTAGAGCAGGAGAGTAATGAAGGAAAAAAAATGGGAAAATTGCGAAAAGAAAAACAAGGAACAGGGTTAACCATGATAAAAAATCAGAAAAAAGAGAAGAAATACTTAAATTAAAAAAAAAAAAATTTCAACCAGCAACAGGGAAAAGAAAAAATGCTAAAAACTAGGACCTCGGAGGGGAAGAATAAGAATAATAGTAAAAAGGACAAAAGTATTAATAATAATAGTTGTTTTAAAACAGACAAATGCAAGCAAACTAATCTCCTGAGAAAGAACGTGAATAAGAAAAAAATAAAAATAAAAAAAGAGCAAAAAAATCAGTGGATGACAGGGCAGGCCTTCCAGGGTCTGTCTGAGTACACAGACTGGGATGGGGTTCCTGTGGACCCAAAAGATAAGTGGGAGTGGGGGATGGCTGCACCTCCCTTCACCAAGCGGATGTGGGATATAAGAGTAACAAGAGGAATGTCGCACCTTTTCAGTCTTGCAGGTCTGGAGTGTCCTTGGGGTTGCTGCCAAGCAGAATGTGTTATTAAACCCCAGGAATCTGTGAGAGCACTGTCTCTTTAAATATCTAAAATAGTCAAGCCACTTATAAACATTCAAAATGGCGGTGCCCTCCAGACCAGCAAAAGTCCACAGCTCAGCCCTCCTTTCTCTTCACCTTCTCCGTTTAGTCTCTAGCCACTAGAGAAGTCCTCTGTGCATTCCCTGGCTAGCAGGGCTGATTTTCAGGTTAATTCATAGGTCCTACCACCACTTGGAAATCTCCAAGCTGTCTGTGCCGTGCCGTCAGGATCGCTGCCAGACTGCAGCTCCATCTGTCTCCTTTTTTGATATTTTCATGTAAATTCTTCTACTAGTTGGGGTTTAGTCCACTACTATATCCTTCCCTTCAAAGCTCAGGGGTCCAGGATTATCTTCTGTGTCTGTGTTAATTGGTTTCCCTTTTCTTTGTTGAAGAGGGTCTGTGCAGTCTTTCTGCCTAGTCTGCCATCTTACCTGAACTCCTTCTGTTTCTTTTCTGTGTTGGCTTGGTCACAAGATCCAGTTTTCTGTTTTGGTTGATCTGTATTTTATGGGCCCAAACTGACAGCATCTGCTGCTTCTTGTTATTAATATCTATAGTACATTTCTGAAAACTGCTCAAATCAGTTGCCATCAAGTTGACTCAGACTCATGGTGACCCCATGAGTATCAAAATAAAGCTATGCTCTGTGTGATTTTTAGATGGCTGATTTTTCAGAAGTAGCTTGTCAGTCCTTTCTTTTGAGTCACCTCTGGTGCACTTGAACCTCTGATCATTTGAAAGCAGGTGAGTATGTTAGCTGTTTACAGTACCTATGATGTAAAGGATTATACATTGGGCCAGGAACTGGATCTTATGCGTCATTTTACTGTTTAACGTACCCAGCATAGTGTCTTGAACATATTAAGCTAACTATGAGAGTTTATTGACCTAATTTTAATTACACTGGCTTTGCTCCTGCTACTTCCATTAAAAAAGTAAAAATGATTTTAATTCTTAAATAAAACATATTATATGTGTTCTATACATCGTACAGATTCGTATAAGTTCATATATATTACAAGAAGAAAATATTTTCATTTATAAATATACTTACACACACATAGAGATAGAACTAGCTTTGACTAAGTTTCCATACTTTTTTGATGTTAAAGATTAGTTTTCATTAAGAAAATATTGGAATACATTCAAAATGTTACTTCTTACAGATAATTTGTGGTAAAAGCCTTTCGGTGGATGAAATGACTCTTAGCACTTTGAAAGAAGGAGGCTACAAAGTTGCTTTCATTGGAATTGGTGAGTAACTTACTTCAAATAATTTTATCTATATTATTATTATTATTTTGTGACAATACAGAAGATTGATTATGTTTCAGCATTGTCATGATGGAAGCTATATCTATGTAGGGACAGATATGAATGGCCAGAAAAACTGAATTTCTGTTTTAGAACTAGGAGTGTTGTCTCTTCATTATGGAAAGACTTTGGCAAGAGTCTCTGTTCTCCCATTTTTCTCATCGCATTGTCTTCACCAGTGGACATTCTGTAACAAGCAACATGTTTTCAAAACATGCCACAAAGCACAGATACTGGTCTTAGAGATGTCTTGATGCTGCAGCTTTCTCATTGTTATAAAACAAAACAACTAAATTGATAATGAAGGTTGGAGTTGGTTCTTTTTCCTTTCTTATTGTATTTTTGTCCCAAAATTTTCCTGTATTTAAAGGTGTTCTATTATATTTCTGAAAGTCACATGGGCAATGTTTAGCTGCTAAGATTCTTTGTGTGTGTGTGTGTGTGTGTGTGTGTGATTTGGGTGAAAATTTACAGAGCAAATTCACTTTCCATACAATAGGTCACATACACTTTGTCTCATGACAATGACTACAATTTACCCCAATGCAACAGCTCCCCTCCCACTTCCTCCTGATAGTTACCTCTTCCCTGTGTGTATCCCTCCATGCACTCCTGCCCTCTGAACTGTCTCACTGTGCATAAACACCCCTTCTTTCTCCCATGATTGATCTCTCCAAGAAGTGTATCCACCTGAGGTATGCCTGTCTTTTGTTTGGCTGGAAGCCACAGGTGTGGGTTCAATTCCAGACCTGAAGGGCAGCTAGGGGCCACCAGTCTCTATCAGACCAGCAAAACTGGTCCCCCCCCTTTTTTTTTTGTCCCCAAATGATTTTGAGTTTTGTTCCACACTGTTTTCCCTCTCTATCCAGAATCTCCTACATAGACCCCTTCCAAGTGGTTGACAGTGGTAGCTGGGCACCATCTAGTTCTGGTCTCATAGTCATATAGGCTGTGGATCACATGGTGTACCAGTCGCTAGGACTAATTGTTTCTAAGAATTTTGGTTTTCTTTATTCTTCTTTGCTTTGGACGAGGAGAGACCCACTGTTGCATCTAGATGGCTGCTTGCAAGCTTTTAAGATCCTAGTCTTTACTCACCTAAGTAGGAGGTGGAACAACGTTTCGTGTAGTATGTTTTCCCAATTGAGCTTAATGTCCCCTGTGACTATGGTCCGGAGCCCACTGGTTCAACTACTTGGTCATTCTGGGTAGCTGGCTGTGACCAAGAAGTGACTACAACCTTGTCCTTGGTCAGCTCTATTATACACCTGGGAATTCTTACAGATCAAAGAAATATACTTATAAGACTATTGTCTGCCAATCCTCTACATGGCCTTGGGTACACTCCCTGCTTCATAGACATACCTAATAGTTTAACCTGTCTACCCATCTATCCACTCGTATACCCACGTTTGCCTTCACTGACAACACAGTACGTCGTGTGCAAAAGGGTTCATCTTTGTTGTCTGTACCTCCCATATACCTCTCTATGTCTTCACATTTGGTACATTGCCTTTCTCTTCACCCACATCAAAACTTATCTCTACTTAATCTAACAGTGTTCCCTCCAGTCCCCTCCTATCCCTGGTAACCAACAAAGAAAATTTCCTTCCATAAATAAACCTTTCCTTGACTTTTACAATAACAGACTAATACAATATTTGTCCTTCTGTGGTTGACTTATTTCACTCAGCACAATGTCCTCCAAGCTCATCCATGTTACACGCTGTTTTGAAGATTCTACGTTATTCTTTAGGGTTGCATAGTATTCCATTGTGTGTATATACCATAGTTTGGTTATCCATTCCTCAGTTGATGGACACCTAGGTTGTTTCCATCTTTTGGCTATTGTAAATAGTGCTGAAATGAACATGGGTGTGCATATGTCTGTTCCTGTCATGGCTCTCACTTCTTTAGAATATATACCTAGAAATGGAATGGCTGGGTTAAATGGTATTTCTAGTTCCAACTTTTGAAAGAATCACCATACTGCTTTCCATAGTGGTTGTACCATTTTACACTCCCACCAGCAGTGTGTGAGAGTCCCAATCTCTCCATATCCTTACCAGCATTTGTTATTTTATATCTTGTTGAACTTTGCTACTAGTGCTGGGGCAAGATGGTATCTCATTGTTGTTTTGATTTGCATCTCTCTAATAGCTCTGGTAGCATAGTGGCTAAGGCACTTGACTGCTAACCAGAAGGCTGGCAGTTCAAACCAACCAGCCACTCCTCGGAAGGAAGGTTGGGCAATCCTA